CCCCTCTGAGTTCCTTGGAGATGGTAGAGAGCGTGCGCGAGTTGATTAAATTCAAAGCAGCAGAACATGTTGAAATGATCCAGAGTTTCCGCGGATCATTTAAAATAATTACAATCCATTATTTTTGGGGGGATTTTTTCATTAATTTCATAAATTTTTATGGGATTTCGGTGTAACAATCAACATATATCGAACCGAACCGAAAACCGTGACCAGAAACCGTGAATCTAACCGAACCGTGGATTTTGTAAAGAGTTCCACCCCTAATATATATATATATATGTTTAGATATAAGTATATATATAGCTATGTGTATATATATGTGTATATATGTATATATATGTGTGTATTTATGTATATGTGTGTATACATATGATGTATATGAATAAATATAGTTATAATAATCTAATTTAAGTTTTTTTTCGGTCAAACTGAAAATATAGATGAAGTTTTTGATGATATTCTAGGTGGTTTATATTCAGTCTGTATTAACTGATTATCTCCTGTAGCTCTGCTTCAGTTTTTAGTGTTTCACCATTAAGGAACGTTGAGTGAAAAAGCTGAATTGAAGGTTGAATAATGTTAACTAAACCTTCATCTTCCACAAAAATAAAAACAGTTTTTTAAGTTTCTGTTATCACTGAAATAAAAAAAAACAAAAATAGGATTGCATTTAAGGCTCTTCATATTTGTTTTGTTCTTGTTTAATTGTAATTATTGTAATTTTATAGAAATGCTAATTTACAGAGTTTAATAAATGGTACAAAAATTATATAGAAAACAATTAGAAAACACATAAAAGCACATAAAAAAATCATATTATTGCAAAAACTTTTCTCAAGTTGTGCCCAAGAAAAAAAAGAAAAACATCTTTACAAAAACTTTTGATTTGTATTCTTCTGAGCACTTATTTGGTTTTTCTTCCTCTCTTCCAGCCTAATGCCAACCACAGCGCTCATGGTTCCATTCACTCCTTAGACAGCGAAGTGGTGGCGGGGGGGCCTTCAGACACCTATAAGGACAATCTGCGGAGAGTCCAGTCGACAGATAGCCTCGGTTCCTCGCTGTCTTCGCAGCAGGGACTCGGCGGTCACAACCATAAGGCCAAGTCGGCCAGCAACCTGGACGAATCTGACTTTGGGCCTCTGGTGGGGGCGGACTGCAGTGTGACGGACAGTAGTTTTGGCGAGACCTCGTCCATCGGCTCCATCAAGCTGACGGCGGGTCACTTCTTGCTTACTAAAGACCAGGAGAAGGCTATCAAAGCCATGACCCCTGAGCAGGAGGAGACGGCGTCGCTGCTATCCAGCATCTCTCATGCCCCTGATTCAGCTTATTTACCGCCTGCAGGCTACCGGCTCGTCAGTGACACCGAATGGAACCTGCTGCAGCAAGAGGTACACACATTAAACACTCCTACCAATGGATACTCTTTTTCTCAGGTTTAATTTCAGTCTTTATCACAATAGGATCATCTGTAAATATCAGGGTTTCCCTGTTATGTATATGCTCCTAAACAGGCTGCAAATACTTTCCTACATAATAGCAAAAGTAGATTTGTTAAAAAAAGAAAAAAACTTCATGAACTCCACCTGTATTTAATGAGAGTTGATGACGGCTGATAAACCTTTGCTGTTGTGTCCTGTTTGTGTGCAACCAGGTAAAAAACGCTGGCAGGAAGCTCGGCCGACGCTGCGACATGTGCTCTAACTACGAGAAGCAACTACAAGCCATTCAAGGACAGGAGGCCGAAACACGAGACCAGGTTCTTTTCTCTGCTTCCATGAAGGATACTTCTTGTTTTCTTTTTTCTTTTATTTCTTTTTTGATTCAATTCAAGATAAGATAGACTTTATTGATCTCACAGGGGAGAAATTCACTTGTCACATCGGCTCAATAATCAAAAGAAGGTGTGTGATGGACCGAGTTAAAAAAACAGGAGGAGTCACAGGATATTAATTAGAAAAATAGTTTTTTTTTATTTTGACCCAAAAATAGATGACAAAAGATAAACTGAGCTCATAAAAGAGGTCAAAGAAACAAAACTGAACTCAGGCAAAAATGTAAACAAACTGGCTGTACAAAGAAATGACAGACAGGGGTATATATACTGGCTGATCAGACCAATTTAGACACAATAGGGGTAACTAAACAGAATACAATTACAA